TTTTTTGGGGGGCTTTAGGGTTGAGGGTCCAGAGGAACACGAGCTGGGGCAGGAGGAGAATGGCAAGGAAGAGCAGTAGAAGTAGGTGGAAGCCTCTGCACATGGACATTCTTGTATCTTGGTGTCCTGAATTTTCTGCAGTTGTTGGCGAATCCCCTTAACCCTAAACCCTAAACCCTTAACCCTAAACCCTTAACCCTTAACCCTAAACCCTTAACCAGGCTCTGGGCTGACCACATCCGTAGCTCTTTCTGAAAGCGTGGCAAGCTTCCAGCGTGCTCAACGAAAGGAGTTTACATAGGGATCATATAGGGGTTATATAACGATTATAGAGGGGCTATATAGGGATCATATAGGAGCTATATAGGGATTCTAGGCGTCATATAGGCGGAGCATATAGGGGTTATATTGGGGTAACAAATATTTTGGGATAATGGCAAAGGAAATGGAAACTACTACTTAGGGTTTAGGGTCTAGGGTTCGAATAATGCCCCAAGGGCAATCACCGAACAGTTAGCACGGTAGTTCCCATAAACAGGGTGACCCACAGGATGCGTCCCAACAATTGCAAGAGTCACCTCAGAACCCTAAACCTTGAGCCACTAGAAGGGACCCCAAATGCTCGGAAAGCCCCACCCTAAACCCTAAACCCCTAAACCCCTAAACCCTAAACCACTAAACCCCTAAACCCTAATCCCTAAACCCTAAACCCCTATATCCTAAACCCTAAAATCAGTTTCTTCAGGTGCAGGATGCCTCCCCACTGGCGGAATCCTCCTCGTGCCTTGCCCAGGGTTGGGCAGGGTTGTGGGTCACTTGCTGGTGCCATATATGGTTTAGGGGTTTAAGGTTGAGGCTTTAGGGGGAGTGGGGAGTGAATATAGGGATTTTTACATGGGTATTTTTGCGGATGGTATAGGAATTGTTATAAGGATCTACTCCCCCGCTCTCCCTTAAGCACCAGTAAGGTTATATGGGACATTGTCAAAAGCATTTCTGAGGGGGGTTCTTCTAAGCTGCCTACAGCCCTGTATATTCCTGGGGTCCATTGGGGCCCGTCATTTCGGGATCCCCCCCCCGCCTAGGAGTTGTAGGTCAGATAATACACTGAGGGATTTTTGGGTTTGAGCTATGTATTCGGGTGTTGGAGGGGTTGAGAGTTCCAGGTCTTTGGGGGGCATGTAGATGTGCTTCTGTATATACATCTTTACACATATTACACAGACAGATATATGTACGACATGACAGGAGGAAAGCCTAGAGCCAGAATTGCTCGCAGGCCGAAACCGGATAAGCCCTTACCCCACAGGGAACCCTCCCCAATATCAAACTGCTTCTTAGTAGGGAATACTGCGGTAGGACGAAAGTTCGACCTACTCGTCTTATGTGAAAACTTGACAGCAAGCACACCCCCTCTCCCTCGTAGACTCCTCCACTGAGCACGCTGGGGACTCCGCGGGAAGCTTAAAAAAAATACATTCAAAACAGCGTAATAATTTACTCCGCAACATGGCCCACACTACGCACGGTCTTTCTGCATGTTGGTCCTCTTCATGTGCCCCAAGGCCTCAGTAGGTCGAAACTTTATTCCTGGTGATGTCGGGGAATATAACCCCTAGTACATAATATGTTCCCATAACTTCCTTTTAAAGAACCAGTAAGGATATGGTACTGTCAGAAACAAGCTGGGGGAATCGAGGCCTCACGACATCTGAGATCCAAATATAAATACTGGCCTTGTGCACTGTGCTCCCCTCCCTTGCAACCCCCCAAGACCGTTTAACGAAAAGCCGCCCAGGACATTCATGTCATGTGGTAGATGGCTTTGAAAGAGAAAATGGATATGTTCCTATCGTGCTCTGGATTTCGATGAAGTTGCAAAGTCAACGAGGCTTGGTAGGCGACATCATGTAACCCTACATAATCCCTATGTAACCCTACAGAATCCCTATAAGACCCTATATATACTTCCTATATAATCTCTATGTAATCAACCTGCTCTGAGCAACTTGTTTTGCTCCAAGGCAGCCTGCTGCCATCATCTCTGGGCCTGGCACCAAGAAGTTGTCTATAGGGTTATATATTATAGATTTTATTTTTATACGTTTGTACAGGCTCATAGTATAAGGTTATGTTACAGGGTTATAAAGGATTCTTTAGGGTATATTTTGGGGTTGTCTGGTTCCGATCCAGACATGTGAGGGTAAAGGGTCCCTAGACCATCGTAGTCATGGGACCTGACATGACGGGATACCCAGCCTACTCCCTGCATCGTGCGTGTATACTCACAGATGGGCGGCTGAGCCCAGGCCCCAAGCTGAAGCTCCAATCCTGACTCACTACGCCGACATACCAACCTTCAATATGGGGGCTTCCCAAAATTAGGGGTACCCTCTTTGGGGGTTCCCATACTAAGGACTATAAAATATTGGGGTCTATGTTGGGGTCCCCCTATTTTGGGAAACTACCATATGTCCAAGGCATGTTCACTGGCATATGCATGACAGCTTCAAAGAAATCTTGACTCAGCTTTGGTGGTTCGCAGTAAAAGGATACCTCAACACCTTGTGCAACGGGGACGAAAACACGAGAACCCATCCTGATAGTAAGGGCCGCACTTCAATGCAGACCCTGAACCTCAAGCCTGCAGCCCATTTCCAGGTCTCAGCCAGTCGCTTCTCCCCAGGCTGGGCTGGCATGGGCTTAGGTGGCAGGGTTGGGTTCAAGGTTTCAGGGCTTCTGTGGTTTTGAAGTTGAGATGTTGGGATGGAGACTGAGGCATAGGGTTTTACGATCAGATTTCCTTGTCGAACAGTCACGGGGTGGCTCTGGTAAGTAATTCTCAGAATTCACTCCTGAAGCAGCTTGTTGGGGTCGCAGGCTTTGCGGATTTCTGCTTTGTTTTGACATTTGATGCTTGTCAGGAGGAGACTTTATCAACGTGACCCGAGGCCATGTTTTTTTTAGGCCTTGGTCATGGTGCTTGTCTGGCTACTACTTACTCTGCCCGTCCATCACGCTCAGACTGGTACATTCTGGAGGCTTTCGATCTTGAGGTGCGCTTTTCCCTCCACTTTTCCACGTTCAGTTTGAGGCGTAGGTGTAATACGAGTGTGGCAGGCACACTGGGCCGCTGTCCACAGTAGCGGGACATGATGCATGGCGATGTGCTGATAGGGCGTTCAGTTTCTTCTTAATGCAGGAGTGACAAAAACTACGTGCATTCAGCTGCTGGGAGAGCAGCATGGGAGTAACTGAAGTGGGTCAAATTAGAGTCACTCAACTAACTCTCCGTGCGCAAGTTCATCTGGATGCAAGACGCCCTTTATCCAGACCCCAGGCCATCCAGGCTTCAACAACCCTGCACACAAAATCTCATCTCTTCATCTCATGGAGGCTGCGTATTGAATATATATTGGGGGTATATAGGGATAATGGAAAAGTAAATGGAAACTACTATATTATGATAGGATATATATTGGGGTAGAATATCTCTGATCCAGGCCTCCTCGGTGCGTCGAGAGGCACGGCCCTTTGTGAAAGAGATGGAAGATGGATGTTGCGTTTCGGAAGAAGTATCACGGCTGGCCTGATTTGATCTTCATGTGATCCATGAACCCTTACAAACCTAAACCCTGAACCCAAAATCTCTAAACTTTCAAAACCCTCGAAACCCCCAACCCTAGAATCCCTAAAGCCCTAAACCAACCTAAACCCTAACACCCTCACACCTCAAGAAACAAGCTTCAGGTAGCCGAGGCCACCATTTGGGATAGGAAGGTGGAACACCTGAATGCGCTTGGCACTCAGGCACTCCCAGTCTAGGGTTTGGGGTTTAGGGTTTAGGGTTTAGGGTTTAGGGTTTAGGGCTCAGGGTTGTTCCCAGAAGGTTATAGGCTCTAGGGTGCGGGTGTAGGGTTTGGGGTTTGGGGTGTGGGGGTTTAGGGTTTAGGGAGTTTGGGGCTTCGGGTTCAGGCTTCAGGGATTTTAGAGTTGAGGGTTTAGGGCGTGGTATTCGCTAATAATACTGATAACGATTAGATACTGCATCACATTTTGGAGCATCAAACAGACAAAAAAGGAGACCAGCATGGAAACTTGGATTTTTCAGAGGATGAATTAGAAGCTTTAGGAAATGGGGTTTGCAGTATTGTCTTACAACTACTGGCTACTACATCATTGGTAGGGTTGTTTTGGAACCGGACATGAAAGCCAAAATTTTTTACAGGGCTTATGATCGAAAGGAGAACTGAAGCTGCTGCGCTGTTGGGGGTTACAATGGGCAAGAAAATGGAAGCTGCACATATAATATAGGGGGCCCCAACATAGACCCTTGTGATGCTGAATACCGGGACGCGAAAATCGGACCCCTGATTCTTGGAACCCTCCACATATTCACAGTTGTTAACGAGAATCAATAGTGATTATGGACAAGAAAGTGGTACATGGATTTACAGAGGCTGCAGGGACGTGGGCTTCTTGTTTTAAGGAAAGGAGGCTTCATCAATCTAGGATCAGGACTTCCATCGTGGATATTTCATTTACCCTGACATTCCGACCCCAGTGTGCTTGGGGCTTGAGGAGCACCCACAAACTTGTACAGTGTAAATAGCAACGCCTTGCGTGCATTCAGCACAAGCCGCACAGGCACCAAGGCCACAACATTTAGCATGTCGACAGGAAGCTGCGTCGGGCTCTGCACGCGATTTAACATGCGTGGGATCGCAGTCTCTCCAGGCCCATTGTGCAGTTCCTCCTGATATCATTACCCTTAGACACGCAACTGTACTTTCCAGCTCTTCAGGTTTCTACGGTAGGCCGCAGCAAGAAAGTTGTAGGAAAGGTGTAGATTGCCATATGCTTGCCAAGGCCGCCCCAGATCATCCAGCAACGTGGGGATGCTCCGATGCATATTCATATTTGAGTGATTTCTAGGGACACGGGGCTGAAGTAGAGATTCACAAGCTATACTTCATTTGGCATGGCCAGGCAGCACTGACATGGCGTTGGGCGAAGAATTAGATGTTCAATTTACAGGTTTCGACTTTCAGGACGTCTACAGACGTAGTAAAAGGGTACCGGCAAGGTGGAGTTGGGCCGACAGTAGCTGATTCCAGCTCTGAACAGTTCCATAGCTATGATGAGTGACTCGGACCTTCCTAGTCTTCAGACAGCATCACAGCGTTCAGCCGATTCCCGAGCTTACTAAATGGGTATTTTTGACAGCGCTGTCCTGCCGCAGTTTCCAGCCATTTGAATGAAAAGCAAGGTCTGAGATGGATGCCTCAGAGTGAAGGAGGATTGGAGTTTACTGATGGAGCATTCGCACCGCGCCTACTTGCAACTCCCTACGTCAAGTTCTCAAGGCTGGACACACAGACCTGTAAATCACTCTTTCTCACCATGGCTTGTGGTGCAGAGACTAGTCTATGTTATAGTGGCATACAAGAAGAGTACATGCTCAACTTTGACCCTGAGCCAAAAACCGCAACTCTAAAGTTTAACCCTCTGCCTCATCAGACTCGATCGCTAAAACTGCAGATCGTTTCCCAGGAAACACTGGTCGAGGAGGAGCTGAAACAGGAGTTTCTGGACATTCCTATCATCACAGAGGAGGCCTTTCCCAACAGCCTGTAAGCTGCAGACTCTGATGAACAGTCAAAAGTTGTCGCATGTAGCCTTCTGGGGCGCACGGTGCAACGTTTCGACATGCACCCACGGCAGCCTGTGGTGCAGCGATGCATCATTTTCATATTCATGTGTTTGATAAAGATTAATCACGGCAAACATTGCTCCCCCAATAGCTCAGACTTCAGTATAGGAAATGTGAGACGACAACGATGAGTATAATGATAATGGCAAAATCATAGTCGCTCCCACTCCTGCTGCTGCTACTACTGCTAGTGCTGCTACTAGTACTACAACTACTAGTATTATACTACTACTGCTGCTGCTCTTGCTGCTACTGCTGCTACTGCTTCCACAGACTACCACTACCACTACCACTACCACTGCTACTGCTGCTGCTGCTGCTACTACTACTACTACTACTACTACTACTGCTACTACTACGACTACTACTACTACTACTCCTTCTTCTTTTCCTACCACTACTACCACTACCACCTCTACTACCCCTACTGCTGGCTAGTATCAGTGATGCAGATCCAATACATTGACATCCCCGATGTCCACCATGTGGAGAAGCTCGAGGAGGTCACGAAGGTGTCGGGCACTGCATGGTTCGGGGTGTTGGTTTTTAGGGGCTAGGGTTTAGGAGTGGGTTTCCGAGTAGATTTCTAACCCCCCCGACCCCCACATAGGACAGATCCCCACAGAAGGATCCTTGGAAGGTCATTAGAAGGAAGTTCGGGGTTTCTTAGAGGGTCTGTCATTTTTGCGGTGGCTCTTGGGATCTACCTGAGGCTTCTCAGGGGCACCTTGAAGTGGCTCAGGGCTTAAGGAAGTTGAGGGCTGCGGTTTTCCAAAACAGCGGACCCCTGCAAGTGGATCATTTGTCCTCCAACGTCCCTTACATGTTAAGTTGTATGCCCTAAGCCCCAAGCCAGCTTTTCTCACAGATGCTGACACGAGATTCCTCATCCAGGCCCTCCAATTTCCTCCCGTAAACGAGAGACCCGAAATCCCAGCCACGCCACTTTGAAAGCGATTTGTGCCACCAAACTTTCTGAGTCACACCCGGCATCATCAGCGATGCGCCTTGGAGCCCCAAATTAAGCATCATTCCCCGAGCCCCTGAATCACGACCCGCCATCCCAAATCGACAGCGCAGCCTAACTTCGAAGCCTTCACCCTGAAGTCAGAGAAGCCCAGCAATCGATGTGGAAATACAGGTGTAACAATAGTACCAGCAAAGTAATAATAGCAATCATAGTAATTTCAGTACTGATAGTGATATTAATGCCAATAATGATTTTGAGAGGTTGTGCCTGTCCCCTATGAGCAGCTCGTGGAAGAGATCGTCAAAGTGCCCAGGCGGGCTTTGGAATGCAGGTGTTTCTCGCGTGCTGGATCATTTTTTGGAGTTTTTTGTTCTTCGTGCGCATTGCTTACTGCACGTAAATGTGCTAACAATGATCGACTGCTTTTCTTGGGATACATGAGGTTTGCATCCCTATACGAAGGATCATAGTATACTGGGGTCTTCAAAGGGCCTGCTGTTTAGGGAAACTCCCACATGAGGTCCGTCCCTTTTCAGGTTCACTACTTTCAAAGCTGACAATCGTGCGGTGTACAGATCAAGCTCTCAGCAGTGAGCCTTACTGTTACCAGATTTTGGGGTTCTATAGGGATAATGGAAAATGAAATGGAAACTACTATAATAGGGTATATCGGGTTTATATATGGGTAGGTTTTATATTGGGATTTCTTTTATTCACATTCTCAAGCTGATAGTTTCAGATGCCAGCTGGTATGACAAATTCTTGAACTTTCATTGCTCCATAGCGCACTTTCCCAAGCCTTATTGACTGACTACATACTGCAGGGCCCTAAGGAAGCTAGAAACCGCAGCCAGTCATGTAAGTTATCAGGATTCCCTAAACCCTAAACCCTAAACCCATCCAAGTAGGGTCTTCCTGCAGAATTCGTTCAGCAGCTTCAACCTTTGCCTTGCTGTTCTTATGGCTGACATGCCAGGATTCTCACCGAGGAGCGGATACAGCAGCGACAGGCTTCGGGCCCCAGCTGTTGGGTTTAGGCAACCCTTCCACGGTTTAGGGGGCTTGGGGTTCTGAGCGCATAATAGTAATACAAGTAGTAGTAACAGCAGTAATAATAATTGCAGCAGTAATACTAATAGTGGCATGTTTTAGGAAGAGGGTGGTGCAGGGCTGCCTACGTCGGCATTACATAGGCTTCAAAGGACGGCAAACGACAGCAGGTGTGCTGCCAAATGGTTTGCAAGAATTTGTCCTTGGTCTCCGGCTTCAGGGTGTTTATGGCCCAGAGGATCCAGGCCTTTTGATACACATCTGAATTGGGTTTATTTAGGCGTGTTGTTAGGTCAGGGTCGCGAATTGCTGTACTTGTTCAAGGTCAGCAATCGCTTTGATTGCAACTTTTTATTTTGCAGGCCAAGTTTCGTTGAGTTTCTTCTCAGCCAGCCAACGAGGTTCATATGGCTCTTGCAGTTTTTCAGCGGAAGCTGGAATCCTAGATCTTGAGCCCATGCGTGGGGCAAGGCTACCCATCACAAAAGGGCCTGCTTAGTTCACCACATTTTGTTCGAAAAGGTTCCCAGCAGTGGATTGTCAAACTTGTGCTCTCTTGAGTTAGCCTTATAAGTATTAGAGGCCAGCTAGAATGCTTGTTTGGCAAAAGCCCTGCTTATAGGTGAATGGGCAGTAATATGTGGAGCTGTTACCTCAAGTCGGGCTGTAAGGTGGTTTTGGCTTCAGGTGTCCTGCTCATGACCAACTTTGGGTTTAGGGTTTAGGGTTTAGGGGTTTAGGGTTTAGGGTTTAGGGGTTTAGGGTTTAGGGTTTAGGGTTTAGGGGCTAGGGTTTCCCAGTGTCCTTGAGAGCAAAACCCTAACATCTCACCCCTGAACCCTGAAGATGAACCCTCTGAGGAGGACCCCCCACCCTGTAATAGTGGTACAATAGAAATATGTGAAGACATTATTAAATATAATTGCCACTATCCCTTATTGTCACTATTACTGGGTGGGAGGTCCAGCTAACCTTAACCCCATTACCCTAACTAATGCCCTGCAGCCTCTGAGGTTGAGGTATTGGTGGATGTCCCTGTGCCGCAGGTCGTCGAGGAGGCGGTTGCCCTTGTAATACATTTCATTTCCTGAAAAGTATCTTAAACTGGGGGCGCGGATGCCAAGGCGTGTAGGACGTTGGCGAGTCCTTCGTGGTAGAGTCGTTGAAGGGAGACTGGAAGTGTTGGTCGGGAAGGCCTAGGTTCAGTTCATGTAAAGCCAGTGCTGGAGCAGCATGCACCATTCCGCGGGGCTCTTAGGGCTTAGCAGACCCATGAAAACATTCAGCAAGCATTTGATGTTCTTGAACCCCTAAACCCTACACCGCTGAACGAGTACTATGGGAGACTGAAGGCTTCTAATCACGCCAGAGTTCACCCCTACGCTCCATGTAAGTGTTGGGGCCAAGTGTAGGTTTCGAAAGACTAGGGGGAGTCGCTATAATCAGGGTTGCAGCTTATTGTGCTTGAGATTCGGGGCCCATGTGTACTGAATCCCCCATGCTACTTGCAATGCGAGTGAATTTTGTGGTGTGACATGTCCGCTGTCTTACTGGTTCTTCGTAGGGAACAAGGGAAGAAAATTCCTGTATAATCCCTATATACTGTATTCCAACCCTAAGCCATAAATCCTAAACCCTGAATCCTGAACACTAAACCCTAAATCCCGGAACCTAAATCCTAAACCCTATATACTTCCTTATTCCCTACTAAGAGCCAGTAAGCTGTGTGCAATCGTCTGCAGGTTTCAGGGCCATTCAGAGAGTGTGTCAACATTTTTGGCGAGAGTATGGCACATCGTAGATAATTGTGGCATGCTGCGGTCTATATTGAGTGTTATAGTATCTGGGGTTTAGACTGGGGAATTTTTCTATGTTCGGGTCCACACTAAGGAGTACTACTACCACTACTACTACTACTACTACTACCACTACTACTACTACTACTAGTACTAGTACTACTACTACTACTACTACTACTTTGGAGGGGTCATTATCCTTGTACCCTTTGTGGTAACTGTTATTGTAAGCGGAATGACCCAAAGCAACCTTGCAAGCCTTCAAAGTCCACGTATAACATAGTATGTTAAGGGTTCTATCGGCGTTATATAGGGATAATGGACATGAAAATGGAAACTACAATGGGGTTATATGGGGTTTAGGGTTGAGGGATATTACCCCAACAATAACTATTGGTGGTTTACATGCGACTTGTGTTGGAGGCAGGAAATGCCGCAATCTCTTCTCTTTCCCATGACTGAACTGATATTATACAATCCTGTGTTGTTTCATAGTAACGCAAACTCTTGGTTCAGACCTGTCATGGCCGCGGCCATTTCTCGCCTGTAGCCGCCGCATGTCATGGAACACATGGCGTCCTTCAATTTCTTACCAAAAGCCTGATTCGCGAGACCCATGCCGGCAGATGAGCAACTACATGCCGGAAGGTAGTTTCAATGCCCATACCTCACTTGCTTCTGGCGACAAGCATCATGAGGGAAACACGAGGTTCAGGTCCAGTAAGCCACCATGTCCAGCATGACATCGCTTAGGCTTCAAGTGTGGCATCACGAGCCGGGAAGCCTAAACCGTCAGCCATTCCAGCCCAGCCCAACCGAACTTGTAAATTTCCAGCATGGCGCCAAAGTGTGTCCCTGATGCCTAGCGTGCAGCCATGCGGAGTGACCTCTCAACGCGCACGGTGCGCTTCTACGAGGCTTGCAGCGATGGGTATGTTCCAAGTTGGGATTTGTCCTCTCTTGTGATCCTAGCACATATTCGTGCATGAATCCTATAACTGTTTCAGAGTCATCCATTGAGGCATAAACGCTTTACCTGTTGAATATAAAGGAAGAGTAGCGGGAGGAAGTGTAAGAGCCGTGCAGATGAGCAGCGGATTAGGAGGGAGGACTGGTGCTACGAATCGTCACACAGTAGAAACATGATGATAAGAGGTTTTAGGGTTTTAGGGTTTAAGAGTATTGGTAGGGGTTATATAGCGATATTAGGGACACTGGAAAAGAAAATGGAAAAGAAACTGGAAACTACTACTAAGGTTAGTCGTAGTTTCGCAGAAACGTAGAAGACCAGCATAAGTAGCAATGCTGCACGAGAGTGCTCTAACTGATACTGGCGAAACAAGTAATCATACGCAGTAGCACCATTGCACTTGAGCTAGCTGTGTTGTAGCAAAAGATTTCGAAGAAATCAGACAGAATGCTTAAGCCCTAAACCTGAACCCAAAACCCCCAAACCTTAAACCATAACACCTCAACCCCCAAAACCCTGCCAAACCGTCACTGTCCATCCAGTGCGGAGGTCTCCACCGCCGATCGCGATGCGGCCGCCGAGGCGGTGGCGACAAATTTGGCCGTGCAAGGCGGGCTTCGGTTCAGATTTAGGATTGGGGGTTTTGGAGTCTAGGACTCAGTGATTTGGAGTTTAGGACTTAGGTTTCGATCCCCGTGGAAAGCTTGCTTCTTGTGGTGTCTGTCCAATTCGAGGCACCCCTTGGAATCTGCCCCATTTCAGAGTATACCCTAAACCCTAAACCCCTAAACCCTAAGCCCTCAACCCTAAACCCCTAAACCCCTCAACCCCTCTCTCTCTCTCTCGAAAGCGA